TGTTAGGCTAAAATTAGCACAAATAGTAGAGAATTGATTCACACTTTGTTGCATCTCAGCCTTAGAGGCTGCATTGACTACACAATCATCTGCAAACAAAAAAGTCACATACCAACTCTCTCTCCGCTTTAGTCTTGGCTTATAGCCTTTTCAAATTAAATAATTTACCATCCATGGCAATAGTTGACCTTGACGCCATTTTTGTCCTCGTTGAAGGTGTCTGACAACATTGCAGAAAACGTGGTGCTACAAAGCATGGGAGCAAGCACACAGCCTTCCTTCGAAACAGCTCAAATCCCACCTTCTCCAGGAGGGCTTTCCCAGTCCCTTCTGCTGTTAAGAGTCTTCTCTGAGATCATTTTACATCTATTCTGTATAATTCTTAAATCTACATAGTTATTTTCAAGTTGTCTCTCCTATTGGAATGTGAGCTCCTTGAGGGCAGGGACAGTATTTTTGCCTTTCTCTGGGGGCTCAGTACTTAACACAGTGCCTGGTACATAGTAAGCACTTAAGTCTTTTTGATCTACTGACTTTGCAATAAGAAAAAGAAAGAAAAATAAAGCACCAGGAATGAGAATGAGAGGAGAGGAAGAACAAAGAGGGAAGAAGACAGAAGCCTTGAAAGGGAACTTGAAGAGTATCAAAGAGGGGCATTTTATGGGGATGTATTAGGAGGTTGAAGGAAGTCAAAATCCAGGACCTGTCTAATACAGGGAAGATGCCACAGAGCCTTCCTCTTTCATTTCCTCCTCTTTCCATGCCTGTCCCTCTTTTATCATCCCACCTTTTTCTCCATCCTAATTTCGATTCAATTCAGCAAACATTTAATCAATCAATCAACAAGCATTTATTAAGCACCTACTAGGCACCAGGCATTATGCCTGGGAATACAAAAAAGTTGTAAAAGACAGTTCTTTCCCTTGAGGAGCTTCCAATCCAATGGGGGAGATAACATGCTAACAAATCTGTACAAAGCAAGCTATATACAGGGTAAAAGAGAAGTAATTAACAGAGGGAAGGCACTGGAAATAATGGACACATATATCAGATTTTCTTCGTTCTGGTAATTAAAGAATAGGATACATAGAAAGGGAGGCAGGAAAGGAACAAGCACTTATTAAGTGGCTACCATGTGCCAGACACTGTGCTAACTGCTTTACAAATATTTACAAATATCTTGTAGGTTCCAACTTGAATTTTTGATAGTAATCCTCATGATGCATGCTAAGGACATTTTGATACAGAGGAGAGAATCAACATTTAACAAGCTCCTACTATATGCCAAGCACTGTGCTAAACTGTGGGGATACAAAAAGAGGCAAAAGACAGTCCCTGCCCTCAAGGAGCTTATAATCTAATAGGGGGAAGACAACAAATATATACAAAGCAATCTATATACAGGATAAACAGGAGATACTTAACAGAGAATTAAAAAGGATTGGAGAAGAAAAAGATGGGATTTTAGTTAGGACTTAGAGCAAGCTGGCGAGGAGATCCGTTAAGTGGAGGGAGAACTTTACAGACCTGGAGGGCAGCCAGAGAAAATGCCTGGAGCTGAGAGTTGGAGTGTCTTGGTAGAATAGCCAGGAGGCCAGTGTTACTGGATTGAAGAGTATGTGCTGGGGAATAAGGTCAACTGGAAAGGTAGGAGGTGGCAAGGTTATGAAGAGCTTTGAATGTCAAGCAGAGTATTTTGTATTTGTTCCTGAAGGTGATTAGGAGTCACTGGAGTTTATTGAGTAAGGAGATAACATGATTGGACCTCATTTTTAGAAAAGTCACTTAAGTGGCTGAATGGATGATGGATTAGAGCAGGGGAGAGACTAGAGGCAGGAAGAACCACCATAAGGCTGTTGCAATAGTCCAGCCATGAGGTGATGAGGACTTCCACCAAAGTGCTGGTAGTGTCAGAGGAGAGAAGGGGGCATATTCAGATTTAGAGGCTGAACACACAAGCTGGAATCCTAGCTACTGCCACATATATGACCCTTTGGTAAATTTTTCTGGGCCTTATTTTCCTCATCTGCAAAATAAGAGGGTTGGACTGGATGGCCTTTGCTAGCTCACTATCCACACATTATATCCCCTAACTCTGGGTGTTCTACAAGTCTCTGTCCTGGGTCCTCTTATCTTCTCTCTTTATACTCAATCTTAGTGACCTCATCAGATGCCATGAGTTTAAATATAACCAGTATCCAGATGACTATCTCTCTGTCTCTCTCTCTGTATACCTGTGTATCTATATATGCATATAGCTATATGACATATATATATAGGGCCTTATATTTAACTAATTCATACTTATTTGTATTCTCTTTATATTTATTTGAAATATGCTTACATACACTTGTTTTCCTTCCCTTAGAATGTGAGCTCCTTGCAAGTAGGGATAATTTCATTCTTTGTGTATGTCTACCACCTAGCATATATAGAAAGTGTTTAATAAAAATGTTTAATTAATTAACTTTAAGGTCTCTTCCAGCTCTCAATCTATGATTCTAGGATCCTTTGACAACATAAAGTGTTGGGTTATCTATGTTACGATGTTAGGGGTAAGAGAAGAAGGTGAATGGGGGTGAATGGGATGAAAATAACTTATTTGTGGGATATCTGAACTTTACTTTGCTTTTGTTTTCTCTTCCAAGGACAATAATCTTTGTATTGGCAAGACAGAACAAAAGTGGTTTATAGGAATTAGAAATCCAAGACAAGTGAAACTGTCTAGAAGCATCTAACTTCCATGAAATGAGGAACAGGACTACCTATGAATGAAATAGTACTATAAATAAGGTATTAAAAGAACTGGCAGATGTGCTGATGAGCTGCTGTTCGTCAAGTCTGAAAGACCTTAGAGAGAAGAAAAGGTGTTTTAGGGCTAGAAAAGGGTAGATGTTGGCCCAGTTTCCCAAAAAGGAAGAGGCTGCCTGAGTCTGCAAGCTGTAGGTCAAAGAGCTTGGCTTAAATGCCTGGAAAAATTCTACAATACATTACTAAGGAAATAGTTTGTGAGTCCTTAGAAAGGAAAGTACAGTAGTGATTACCAAAAGCCAACATACCATCTCATCAAGAATAAGTTATACCAGACTAATTTCACTTTTTTTTTTCAAAGTTAACCAGAGTGGTATGACCAAGAAAGTGCTGCAGCCATAGTAGATTTCTATTTCTATTTCCAGAACCAAAGTTCTGGGTGTACATAAACCAGGGGCTATCTTGGAGGCATCTCATAACTCAAAGGTGCATACCCTCCACCCAGGGTTTCACCCAGGAATATGAGATTCTGATTATATCTAGATCTCTGTAGAATAGGTAAAGAGCTCTTAGCTCCATGCAAGCATTTAGTCTAACAAAATAGAGCAGACATTATTAAGTCCATATGAGAGGACTAGGGCACCCTCATTTCCTGAAATAGGGCTTAGCTTTCCCTAAAAAGAAACAAAGTTGTCCTTGTCACCTGAGTGGTCCCTGCATCCCTTGATGCAGTTTCCTTATCACATAAGGACATAAAATCCTTATGAAATAAAAGAGTTGGGGGCCTCTCCAACCTGGTGTATGTCTGAAGACCACGCCACTCATCATATCTTACCTGCTGACCAGACCAACATTTCCAAGTGGAGACCGGGGAAACTTATCAAGACAAACTAAATACTTGCATCCTTGTTGCACATCTTTGCTGTGTCAGGGCAAAGTAAACCTTTTGTTAACTGTTCAATGACTTATAAGTGCTTCACTTCATCCCAAATTAAATCTCAAGTAACAGGGTAATGGTGTTAGAGAGGTCTCTAACTGCTCAATATAAAACACCTAAATCCATAAATAGTCAAAAGTACTCTCTTTTCTCTCAAGAAAGCCCACTTCCCCATGGGACCTACTTATGTTCTTCTAGACTTAAAATATTATAACCTAGGGTTACAGTTCCTCTGAAGTGAAAACACTTAGAGCCAGTAAAGTGCACTATAGTGAAGCTACATGACACAGTAGATAGATTGTTGTGCCTGGAGTCAGGAAGACCTGATGTCAAATCCTGCCTCAAACACTAATTGTGTCTCTGGGCAACTCACTTAATCCTTCTTGTCTCAGTTTCCTCATCTGCAAAATGGGGATAATAGTACCTCCCTCCAGAGTTGTTGTGAGGAAAATATGAGATATTTGTAAAGCACCTAGCACATGTTATTATTTCCTTGACCTGCATGATCTACATAACTCATGGTACCAATGAACAGCAAGGTTGGGGTATGCTGCTTCTGCTTGGTACCAAAGTCCTCCAGGGATGGGCCACTTTTGTTCTACCTTTGCTATTTTATATCCTTATTGCTCCTGGCTTGATCCAGGAACAACTTGGTTGCTCCAAGTGTAGCTATATCTGAGAGGCTGTTGGGAGCCATCATTACCATCACTGATGTTTATATACCTTAAATAATGAAATTGGGAGGCCTCAGGATGCATAGAGACTTGGGGAAGGGTGTTAAAAGGACTGGATGGCCTCTGAACTCTCTTTCATCTGTTAGGTGCTGTGATTAGGCAAGTGATTTTCCTCCATCTCTAAAATCCCTCAGATCTCTTCCAGCTCTAAATACCATCATCCTGTGACCTTTTGTAGACTAAACAGTTGTTGAACATGGAAAATTTATCTGAGTCTCTGCCCTGTGGCCCTTGAAGTCTGGTTTTAATGGTCAAATGAGCAAACATTTATTAAGTGCCTACTATGTGCTAGGCACTGGAGATAGAGTTAAACAATCCTTACTCTCAAGGAGCTCACCTTACATTCAAATACTGATAAGCATATTCTCACTGCAGCCCAAGGGCATTGGTACAGAACAAGCAGTCTTTCCATTCTTCTGATCCCTTCTCTTTTCTGATCTATTCTCTTTTTGGGTGGCATGCTGTAATTTCACTCATGTTAAAGATGCTCAAGGGAGGCAAATCCTACAAATCTGGGCAATGTTCTGCAATTTCCTGGAGGAATGAAAGACAAGTTCATAATAGCTAACACCGTCACAGCATTTTAACACAGGAAAAGCTTTATTTCCCTTCACCATAACCTTGTGTGATAGGTGCTATTATTATCTCCATTTCAGAGAGGGGAAAAACTGAGGCTCAGAGAAGTTAAAGTGATTTGCCCAAGGTCTCACACACAGAATCGAATTCATGTCTGGCTGATTCTCGCACCAGCTGCTCTCCTAGGAGACTCGTCCAGGGTCACACGAGAGGCAAGACTTGGCATCCAGAAGCCGGCTTTTCTTCCATCACTTTCGCCGCGCTCCAAACTCAGCTCGCCCTGCCAACCGCCCTCCCTCCCCTCTTGCCTTCTTCCAAGATGGCGCCAAGAGCTTCACCTTCGGGAGGAAGTGAGCACTCGCTAACCCGGAAGGGAAAGCGGTGGAAGAGGCTAGGGTGGAAGAGACGGTTGAGCCTAGGGTGAGGCAAGGTGGGCTAGTCGGCGGTCGGGCGGGGGTGGAGTTGAGGGGGCTGTGCCGGGGAAGCCAGAGTCGTAGTCTGGCCCCGGGCGCCCGAGGATTCCCTCGCGGGGGCGGGAAGACGCCCCCGCCCCCGCCGCGGCCCTGGGCTGGGGGGGGAGAGGTCGAGGGGGCTCCTCCTCCTTCCCCCGGCCCCGCCCCGCCTCGAGGGAACTCAGCCCCCACCTGCTCGGCTCCGCCCCGCCCCGCCCCGCCCCGCCCTCAGCCCGGGCGCGAGCGGCTGGGCGGGGGACCGTGCGACCCTCTCCTGCCCCGCCCCCCATCTCTCCGTACCTCCCGCCTCGCTTCCGGGGTTCCCTTCCCGGCTCGGCGGCTCCGAGCCTGAGGACAGAGCCGAGCCCGAGGTGGGCATCCTGCCCTCCCTCTTAGATCCCGGGGAAGCTTCCGTTCCTCCCTGGACTATGTCCCCAAGCCCTCCGGGCCCAGTGGTTGTTTTATTTCCCAGGAAGATCTGCCTTTTGGATAGCCCCGTCCCCTTTCTCCCTCCCTGCCCTGGCCGCCCCGGGAAGTTTCCTTCCCACCGGTCCTGCCCTAACCCCACCTTTTTTTATACAAATGCCGCTTCCTAGGAGGACTCAGTTTCCCTGTCCCTTGGGTGGTCCCCGTTTCGGCCGCCGACTCCTTCCGTGGCAGGCTTTTTGGGGCGAATCCCTTTAGGATCAGGCCGTTTAAAAAAAAAACCAAAACCTAAAAGAAAAGCCCTCCCCTCCCTTACCCTCCCCCACCCCCAAAAAAAGAACAAGCCCCGCCCCACCCCCAACACCTCCAGCGCAATATTATCGCCTCCCCCACCCAGCCGGAGTGGTGGTGGGCTTCGGAGGGACCATGCAGGCGGGAGAAGCGGGGACCGCCATGAAAGTGTCAGAGAGTGAAGGAAAGCTGGAGAGCCTGGGCTCGGCAGCGACCCTCAACAACAAGAACAGCAGCAACAGCAGCGGGGGCGGCGGCGGCGGCGCGGGGGGGACCGGCGGCGGCGGCGGCGGCGGTGGCGGTGGCGGCAGGACCAGCAGTGCCAAGGGCTGGCAGTACAGGTACGTCCCTCTGCGCGGCGGCCGGGGCCGGGGCCGGGGGTTCTGGGGGCGGGAGCGGGGGACCGGCGCCTTAGGTTCCACCTTTCGGCCCTGTGACCTCTGCTCGGCCTCAGCGGCAAGATTTCCTGATCTAGGGCTTCCAAACTCGAGCCCGATAAGGGAGTTGTGGGATCGGAAGATCAGCACCCCCGCGCAGCTTAGGAGAGATTCTGGAGAATGGGCCAGTTCCCGGGCTTAGCATGTCCATTGTTGTGAATGGATCAGAGGAGGTGAGAAAAGTTAAAAACGCTGAGTGACTTTGCCCTTGATTCGTGCTCTGGGGTCTTCTTTAGCAGCGATGGAAGTCCTTGGTTCTGAAGCTCTTGATAGGGCAAGATAACCATCCTCACTATTAGAAATGAATTGATTCAGTAAATCACCCTTGCAGAAATGATTCTTAGTTGCTCAGGGGATGGATTCCATATTCTTTGAGTTTTAAGCTTCTATTTATTATTCCAAGCCTTTTCCTTGATTTTAATGTTCTCGAATAGGATTATGAAACGGAATTTTGAGTGGGAGGTGTGTGCATATCTCTGTACGGATACATGTTTGCACATAAAGGCAAATATAGATACACTTCAGCTAGCTCACTCTCAAATCTTGTCATTCCATTTCAGTCATTCAATATGTGTATAAACAGATTAAGTATTAGGGAATTCAACTTTATTGTTAATAAACTATGGATTAAGTCAACAAAGGAGATTTTGTTGTAGTAGATTGCTAGACTTGGAGTCAGGATGACCTGCGTTCAAATCGTGTCTCAGAAGCTTATTAGCTAAGTGACCCTGGGAAAGTCATTTAACCTCTCTCAGCCTTAGTTTCCTCAGCTTTTAAATGGGGATAATAATAGCACCTACTTCTCAGGGTTATGGTGAGGATAAAATGTCATGTAAAGTGCTTAGTCACATATAAATACCATCCTTAAATATGATAGCTGTTATTATCATCGTGGGCTTATCTTTCAAATGAAGATATTTAATACCCATTATAGGTATGTCCAGAAAAAAATCCAAAATGATATTTCTCTATATCCTGGAAAAGAATTGTTTTTGAGTTCATTATGAAACCTGATATATTACCATTCCACTTAAGTGGAGGTCAGTCTTCTGGCAACATCAGTTCTCTAAAATATGGACCCAAACCAGGAAGTAAGCATACAAGGTCTCTGAGCCCTGGAAATAGTGTCACAAGTCACTGCACTAAAATCACACACTTTAATCAGATCATAGCCCTAAAGTTGCAAGAGAACTTGGAAGTCGTGAATCCAAACCTGTCATTTTACAGATGAGGAAACCAAGTCCCATAAAGGTAAAGTTGCTTGTCCAGCTTCACAAAGGTGCAAAATATCTGAGGTAAGATTCAATTCTTTCACTTACAGCCTTATTGGCATTTATTTAATTATACTCAAGCTTACTTGGAGTGGTTTCCCTTTTTAAAATGTTATCAATGAATCCAAAGACATGTATCAAGCACCTGCCACTTGACAGGCTTCTGCTGAGGTGGTGGGGATACCAAGATAAAAAATGAAACAGCCTGCCCTCAAGGAACTTACATTCTGTCATGGGAGACAATAACTATGTTTAAAATACACACACACACACACACACACATATTTTTACAAATACACATATACACAGGTGCAAGCTAAATTTATGGGGGGAGGGTAGTAGCAGTTGGGGAGGATCAGGAATGGCTTCATATAGGTGACATTTGAGCAGAGTTTTGAAGAAAACAAATATTCTGAGATCTAGTGTGCTGATAATTCTATCCTAAAACAACTCCCTACAATACACAAAACATACACAAAGTAATTAGGGTGGAAGGGTTGTGCTGTCACTAGATCTGGAAGGGCCTCATGTAAAAGGTGGCACTCGGTTATGCCGAGCCTTAAAAGAAATTTGTATTCTGAGAGGTGGAAGTAAAGAGGGAGAGCATATTGGGTGAGTGCGAAGGTGCCAAGAATAGAGACACAGTGATGGCGTCTCGGGAGCAGAAGACCAGTCTGGATCCTTGAGGGAGAGAAGGGTGTACATATAACAAGAAGGTTGGGGACCCTGTTCTGAAGGGCTTTAAAGGCCAAGCAGAGGTTGTATTTGATCTCAGAGGTAATAGAAAACCAATGCAGTTTACTGAATCAGGGAATAACACGATCAGATCTATGCTTTAGAAAGCTAATTTTAGTAGCTATGTGTAGGATCGATTGGAAAAGGGAGAGGTTAAGGCAAGAAGAGCAATTAGGAAGTTGTGACAATAACTCTAGGAGAGAAGTAATAAAAGCCTGCACTAGGGTGGTGATTAGAAAGGAACCAATGGAAGAGGTGTTGTGAAGGTAGAAATGACAAGATTTGGCAGCTGATTGGATATATGAGATGAGGAAGAGTGAAGAATCAAGGATGAAACTGGTTGACTAAAAGGTTGATGGTGTTTTCACTGGAAATGAGGAAGTTCAGGAGTGGGCTGGGTTTGAGGGACAAGTTGATCAGTAATCAATAAACATTTATTAAGTGCCTACTATGTGCTGGGCACTGTGTTAAAGGGCCAGAGAAGTCAGATCCAAAATGACTGTACCTAAAGTCCTTTCAGAGTTCATTTTAGGGTGTGTTGAGTTTGAGATGCCTACAATACATCCAGTTTGAAATACCAATAGATAATTGGAGATGCACAACTGGAGTTCATCATATTGGAATTAGTAGATTCTAAGGGAGGGATGGGAAGGCTGTTAGAAGTAAATAGAGGAGAACTAATATCTGAAAACTTAGGAAGAACTAAAAAGGAGACAGACTTGTATTACTGCACAGTGTAATGATTTAGGGTTTGAGATTTGCTTTTGATTTAGGAACTATATCAATTTTTCAGCTTTCTAGGAAAGAAAAAACAAAAGAATTGGCGGGGGGAGAGGGGGGAGTAGACCCTTTATCCTACACTATTGGTTTTTATGTATTAGTCTGGTTAGGATCACTGAGGGACTTGAGGCAGGCAGGCAAGGTGCATTTATTCCAGGTACTGGGGATACACATCCAAGAGAAAAAATGGGCCATCCCCACCTTTAAAAAGCTTATTCTAATGAAGGAAAAAGGGTGCTGAAAAGGGGTGGGAGGTGGGGAGGAAATGGAAGGGAAGAGGAAACTGTCAATACTGAGGAATGATGTCCTAGTCCAGAGTCAGAAAGCAGAGCCAGAAGAGAATGAGAGGTGGCTGGCCTGGGCCTCTTCCCAAAATGGAGACCTTGGGAGGGGTCTTGAAGGATGCTTTTGAAAACATTCAAAGAGGGAGCTGAGTATTTAGGGTAATAATAACAATTGTCATTTATATAGTGCTTCAAAGTTTGCAAAATGCTTTGTATATGTCATCTCATTTGAGTTTCTTAACCAGGTAAAGTAGATATATTACAGGTATTATCTATATCTAAAGTCTGAAGAAATTGAGGCTCAAAGAAATTAAATGTATATAGATAGGCAAGAAGTGAACCCAGGTCTTCTTAATTCATCTTTCCAATACTTCATGCTATCCTTTAACTTTTTGTTAATGGACATTTATAAAGAAAAAAATCAAATCCTGTGCCATCTGTTTCATAAGACAGGCTACTACATAATACATTTTATCAAGCTTTCAAACAAAAAGTGGTCAAAATAAAAAAAAAATAGTATATTAAGGAATAAACTTAAGTTGTTTGGAAAATATGTAGAACTAATTCCCCTAGAACCAAGAGAACTTTGTATACAATATTATTAATATTGTTCAAAGAATAATTGTGAATGGCTAAACTCTTCTGAGTATTATAAATATCTAAATCAACTACAAAAGACCTGTGAAGGAAGATGCTGTTAACCTCCAGAGAAAAGAAATTCATAAATAGAAGTATGCACAGTATGGTTTAACACATGTATGTCAAATGGTGAGCCTCTTTAGTGCTGTGTTGGGAGGGAGGGAGACAGTTCAGAACTTAAAATATAACAAAAAAACAAATTTAAAAAGATAAATGAGGTTTCGGGGCACCTAATTTTCTTTATATGTTTTAATTTAGTATGTGTTAAAAAGAAAGTCTTTGAAAAACTAAAATTAAGGTCGTGACTTGGACTTTAGATTTATATTGAATGTTTTGCCAGTATGTACTTTATACTGCTAGATTTTCATCCATCATGTTGCCATGTGTCGTTACTGTTTTAGAACATCCATAATTTCCTTGGTTTGGGCACTTTGTGTTGCTGCAGATTGCAACACCTGTACACCTTAGGAATTGTGGTGGCTAAATGTAATCCATTACATTGTGGCTAACCTCTTGATGATGAATTAATTAGCCTCTGAATTTCGCTCAACTGGAGCTCAGACAACATGGACATCCTGTGTCTCCAGGCCCATACGGAGAAGCTCTTGAGGCTGGTAAGATCTGTCAGATCTTGTGCCCAGTTTAGCATGGCCTTGAGAATCTAGGGTCACCTCCATGCCACAAAGAGGCATTGAAATAGGATGGTAGAGGATGTCCTCTGTTAAGAGTGTGGCTAGCTCTCTAGAAACGTAGTCATGTTCTATCTTAGAAAAGGCCCATATTTGACTAATAT